CCTTTTTGAAGGGAGGGGTTGTGTTTACCACCTGGAGCTGTGACTAAAGGAGAGCCCACCTCCCCACCCCAGCTCTCTGCACGGTACTCATCCGTCTGCCGCATTTCCACCCAAACGGCGGTTTGTCTTCCTCTTCTCGGCAGAGGCGTTCGAGGCTCGGCAGCATATGGTTTGGGCAGAGCAGAGGTCTCGAAGGCTCCAGTCAGCACTGGGCATTCCCAAGTTTGGGGCTGTTGGCATGCCGTCGGTACCTGTTTGTCTCTCCGTCTATCTAGGCCAGACTCCTCGAATATACTATAATCTGTCTAATCGAGGCTGGCTTCTATTCTTGGCTGTGCCGCGAGCTTCCTGCGTGACCCCGGGCCGGCCGCGGCTCCTCTCTGCTTCCCACCTCCCGGGGTCTTGCGAGGATACGTTCGTTAATGTTTGCCAGGTGCAGTCAGGAGCCCCGTGGAAACGCCTCTAAAAACAGCTCCAAATCCAACATCGGGGAAGCTCAGGTTAGAGCCTTGTGACTCCCTCCTGCTTGGCAGGCGCCGGAAAGCGGGCTTAGCTGCGTGGGAGCCCGCAGCCACTTCAAATCATAGCTCTGGAAAGAGCCTGAGAAAGCTGCCAGCCAGGTCCAAGCCTGGGAAAGCGGCCCTGCTTGGGCTCGGAAGCAGGGGCTGTGCAGGTCCGTGTACGCGGAGGACTCGTACTGCGCCTGGGAACGCGTGCGTGCTTTTTTCCGTTCGTATTTCTCTCCACCCTCAGCTAACGTCCCTGCAAAGTCCTCGAGGCACGTTTCAGGGAGGAAGGACCTGGCGTCTCTTAGGGGTTGAGGGGTCTGCAGGCTCGCTGACGGTGCGTGGAGCTGCGCGAGTCGCCTATCGGTGCTTTCGGCTGAGTTGCGTGCCGAGAGGAGCAGCCTGCTGAGAGGAGCAGCCTGGGGACTGGCCCCGGCTCTCCCGCGCTGTTCCCGGGCTAGATCGCTGCTGTCCTGGAGCTCAGCAGCCCCGGCGGCACACCTGGCAGGTCTGTGACGGCCCCAGGGGACGGTGGAGCTCGGCCAAATGGCCGGGGAGCAGATTAGCCGTTTTGCCACAGAAAAGGACCGAAGAGGTGGAGGTCTCCTCGTGAGCACTGCAGTCGGGGCTGTTTGCCTTCGTTGCGCCTTGCAGCTCTGCTTGGAGAGCCAGCGGCAAGGCCACCGAGGGAAAACACAGAGGAACAAGAGACGGGGAAGCAGAGGGTTGACAGGAGGAAAAAGCAAGCAAGCATGAGTAATACAGGCATTAGAAGTGCTTTATAATTAGTTTATAAAAGCTCTCTTAACATCAGCAAAGCACTTTCTACTAAAAATCTTTAATAAAAACGCAGCAATATTTGTAAGCACAGTACGTTTTTTTCCGCTT